TTTTTTTTTTTAAGTTGTTTTTTACTATTTTGTAATGTTGAGTTATTTTTCTAAATTTCTAAAGTTGAGAGGGTTTTCAAATTTTTGGCAACGATGACCTAATTTCGATTGAAATCGGGTTCTTCTAACATATTGATAGCTGAGAATTGTTATGAACAGACTTAATAAAAACCCAACCTTTTCAACTTAGCATTGAAGCTAAAAGATAAATATCAGACATGAACAAATTTTTGGTTTTACTTGTTTAAAAATTTTGTATATTTATATAAATTTGTATTATAAGTCAATCAATATTGCCAAAAATGATTTTAATCATGATTTTATTTTTACAGGTGAAAGTAAAAGGAGTTTTTAGAGCTGTAGCAACAGTATATTCACTTGGAGGGGCTAGTGGATTTTTTAGAGGCATGGTAGCTCGTATACTATATCAAATGCCATCGACTGCAATTTCATGGACAACTTATGAATTTTTCAAATTTGTTTTAATCAAAAAATCCAAAATAACTGATGATCGACCTAGTCCCCCACCACCGCCTCCACCGCCCACAAATGTGGGAAATGAAATAATTATGACAAAAACAAATGTACGGTGTGATTTACCTGTTACAATTTATAGTCACTATAGTGTAAGAGATGATGGATCTGGTCACCCATTCTAAGTTTGTAATGATGGCCTTACCAAGTTTAACACTGAGTAATGGACGGATGTTAGTTTTTAAAAATATACAAATTGTTTTTTTTTTTAATTTTACTATTTTTTTTGTTTTGTAATTTGTTATAAATTACTCCCCTTGTTGTGTTTCCCAAGTTATTAAATATATTGTTCCGGGTATTCAGTATTAAACTACAATAATATAAATAAGTATGTTGGAACTTAAATAAAAATTTATAAAAGAATAAATAGTGTAAACTTGAAATGCTATATGTGAGCATATAACTTATACAAATATATTTGAAATTGTCTGGTGATAAAAAATAATTTTCAACTTTAAATTAATATTGTATTATTTAACAATACTTCTTAAAAAAAGCTTCTATAGTCCTTTTAATAATAACTTTTTTAAGCCAACCAATAATAATTATTGTGTAAAAAAATATTTTTTTAATAATTCTGAGTATAAATAATTTTGTTATTAAGAACAAATGTTTAGGATTTCCATTTAATTTTAGTGTACTGTTACCCAAATAATTATACATCATATATTTATTTTTGTAAATGTATTTATTTATTTGGTTGAAAACATCAAAATAACATATTTTATTTAACAACTTATTTTTTTTACAAAAATTAGTACTTCAGAAAATATTTAGTTACGTCTGTTAACTTAATATAATTTAATTCCCTTTACTTTGACTAATTATTATTTATATATGGAAGTACACTGTCAAAAGTACTCACGAATAAGATATTTTTACTCTAAATAGTGAAAATGTTACTCACTTAAAAGTTAAAATTAAACTTCATCTTTTAATGTTCAATCATTTTTAACATTTTTTTCTGCTCAAAAAAATTTTTTTTATGTCCTAAAAATTATTTTTAATTTCACAAAAAGAAAGTCAAATGTCATTGATTTATTTATTTATATATATATATATATGTATAAATGCTTGACAAATATGGACTAGTTAATTTTAATTTACCATACATTTACTCGATTCATATAAATACGGCTGATATACTCATATATCTTAATATATGGATTATGGTATAGGTTATAGTTATTTCATAAATTTAATGTTGTTGTAAGTGTCTTGATTTTCTTTTATTTCATATTTGATTTAATTTATGTAAAAAATTTACCTATCAAAGAAAAAATTACATTTTTAAAATATAAGGGTTCTTAATGAATATTTACTTTTTTAAATTATTATTATTTTAGAATACAAGTTATATGTATAAAACATGTTGAAATGTCTTTTTGTCTGTGATATGTTTCATTTATTAATGATGTATTTTTTTTTGTTATTTAGTATATTTTGTTATTATAACGATGTTCACTTTGGAGGAAAGTAATATCATTATGTTAACACTTAAAGTAATATAAAATAATTTTATTTTTGTATTAAAAAAAATAGCGATTATAATTTAATAATGAAAAATAATTTTAAATTAACTATGAACAACTTTTATGTACTGAATATATTATGATATTTCAATTGTTTAACTTAATAATATTCATTATTTCATGTACATCACTGATATCAATCAAAACTCTTTACATTTAAGAATCAAACGGTCTTCTTTAATAATATTTTAAAAAATGAACTCTAGAAATGTAATATATGTAATACACTATTCTCTTGTAGCTTGCTAAGACAAGTTGACGAAGAACATCAAATTACAAGTCAAGGACAATAACACAAATTATTATTATTATATATTTATTGGATTGCACATTGTAAATAATGAAACCTTTTTATAATAATGACTATGATGGTTCAAAAAACTAGCAGACAGTACGTGTTAGTATTTTTTTTAAATATCATATTTATTTCAATAGTGTTACCACATCCTTCGATTGTCTTGTTAAAATATTTGTAATTATTATGTTTCTCGTTATAAAATTGTTATTTGCAACAAAAAAACTGTATTTTTTTTATTAAATTACAGTAATAAATAAAATAAAACAATAGAAATGTGTTTTTGTAAGATAATATTAAATTTTTTAATGCAATTTAATTTTAGTTATTATATATTTTTTATTTGCTGTAGTATTATGGTTATGCCATTATATCATAAGCTATTGCTTTTTTTTATAATAATATAAAAAAAGGTTTATGCATTATCTACATACCTATAATATCTTATAAAAATTATAGGTCCTATAATTTTAATAGAAAATATACCACTAATGCAAAAATCTTAACTCTAATAGTAAAATCTTAAAAATAACGATTTTTAGAAAGTACACTAATTTCCTGCGAGAGAATTTCACTTGTACTTTGACATAAACCCAACCTATAGGTACGCTTTTGTATACAATCATATAAACATATAACATAAACTAGTTAGCAATTAGATTAATACATTTTTGTCCAAATAAATCATGCTCGTATTAAGACATTATCGGATTTGGAGTCTATATTTAATTTGAGGCTTCTAAATCGCATACTAATATTAAAAAAGTTATTACTGAAAAAAAATGTATATCTTGGAAGCAATCTGTAGACTATTGAACTAAATTAAAATATCGTACGCATTATGCGTCATTCATATCCTTGTTATAAGTATAAGTTGATCACTGTTACTTATTAATTTCTTTTTATTAATAGATTATAATGTCCTTATTATAAAAAGATTTTGAGAAATAGTGATAATTATGACATCTTATTCAAAGTACTTATAGTACCTCACTATGTTCCGTTAATTTAAGTATTTTTTTACAACAATAAATATAAGAAAAGAAAAAACATCTTCGCTTATAATTTATGGGTTCCCAAACCACTCCATAATACTTAACAAGAAAAGGCGAAATAATCAATGATCTGATGTCTGAAAATTATCAGATAACCCTCTTTTTCCATGAAAAATTCCTAAATATTAAAATTATATGTCGAGTTAAAACGCAGATAAATTTCATCTTATCTGCGTTTAAAACATAAGCCAGGTTGACACTCTTCATGAACCAAAATTATTTTACTTTAATATTTTCTTTTAGAATAAAATTATATTTCGTTTACACTTTTTTATGCTATCATACTGATTTCCATTAAATGTAATATAGCGTCATAAAAAAAAATTACATATTTACCAAATACAATAATTGATATATAGTCGAGAAGCACTATTCCACTCAGTGAGGTCAGAAATATTACCCCATGAAAATTACAAAGTATTGTTTCTATTACTAGTTCAATTGTGTGCAAATATTAAAATACTATGACTTTTAAGTTCACAAGATTCAAAAAATAGTAACAAATTGAACAGTGGATGGATTAATTTTTAATATTTACCAACAATAATCAATCAAATAACTTTTTAGTTTTTTATGATATATTTACATAGTTTATTACTGATTTTAAAACATTTAAATGAACCAGTTTTTGTTAGTGTACCGGTTCTTAAAAACAAATAATTTGAGGTGCCAGTTAGGTTCTTTATTTTCTTTGTCAGAAATAGTTATGAATTGGTTCTCAAAGTTTTTTTAGCTTCGATGCGAAGCTGAGAAGGTATTAATTTTACTATGATGTGTTTTTATTTATTTATTTATTTTTTTTGTGTCTGAAACCACTTTTTCTCAGTTCTCATCGAACCGATTTCTTGTGGGAAATGGGGAAAATCTCCAAAAAAATTATAAATTTAAAAATCGCTAATTTTCGAACATTTTTCAATTTTTTTTACTTAAAACGGCCATTACATTTGTTATGTTTTTTTTATAAATCTGACGCTTTACCTGCCCCCATAGGGAGGGATTCAAAATTACAGCTTTTTCAACATAACTTTTGAAAGTGTTCCGGAAATACTGACACTTTTATATATACCTCAAATTAAAGCTAATGTAATATACTTTATTATAGAAAAAAAAAAAAATTTCGGTCTTTATTTTGTCTTCATGGTGAAAATGGCTATAGTATGCTATATTTGTGTTAAAATTCACGATTTTATATTTTACATTTTCAACTTTATATTTCTGTAATTTTTCGAAAAATGTATAGATCAATACAATTTTTTTTTATGAGAAATAATATTTATATACTTCTTTTATTCAACATACTTTTTTTTTAAATCGGACCATTTCCCTTAATACAGAGGGATTCAAAACTTAAAAATGCATATAGGAAGTAGAACTTTTTTAACTTAATTTTTGAAAATGTTCCGGAAATATTGACACTTTTATATATATCTTAAATAAAATTTTTTTTTAATTAAACACTATCTACAGATTTGCATCCAAGCGTTTTTTATGATTGTGATTATAATCACTGTCAGATATCATCTATACTGAACCCAACTATACCACGTTCTCACTGTGCCGTGACCCCACTGTGCTGGGTTTTTTTATTTAAAAAAAAAAACTGTAATTGATAAATTAAACAAAAATATTGTCGGCGAACATAAAGGCAGGTAGTTCGGGCCGGTTGCCAACTGCCTAGCGTGAAGTCGGAGGGGATCGGTGCTATCTGACAGGCTGAGAGGACATAAGGGTTGCCTGTATTTTCAATGACATTCAATCGCAAGAACCAAGTCAAGGAAGTCGTAGCAGTTATCCCTTTTCAATTCTTATTTATTTTTTTATGTAAATTATTTCCTTAAATAAAGTATCTCAGTTTGTCTTGATTATTCACAAAATAAGTAAGTTTGTTTTTGTTGCATAGAATAAAATTGTCAACAATAGACAAATTTGTAATAATATTGATTTAGGGTCAATACGAGTAACATTTAGATCTATTCTAAATAAAAACTAACTGCAATAACCCAGTTGCGTTAGGCATAATTCACGTAACCGGAAATAAGTGATTAAATAATGGTGTCTACTCTCCGCGAGGAGACGTCACTATGTTTTAACCCTTATTTCCGTCTTCTAGTCATCGTTGCCAGCGCACTGCGGTGGTCGATTTACGTCTAGGGCACTAGTACAAGACGGTGCCCTATTGTTATCTGCCGTCGGCACTCTGTGGATACCACGACACGTTTAAGGGCACTGGCGCAAGGCGAGTGCTCTATCGTTCTTTTAGTAAGCGTTGTCGGTGCTCTGCGGTGGTCGATTTACGTCTAGGGCACTCGTACAAGACGGTGCCCTATTGTTATCTGCCGTCGGTACTCTGCGGATACCACGACACGTTGAGGGCTATTTGCGCAACATTCGAAAATAAAGCTACATGACGTAACGCGTATAGTATTACTTGTTTAACCAGCGTAGGCTACACATGCAGTTAGGTTATAACGACATTTGATACATTCTACACTCTGTGATATTTTAAAAATTACAATGCACTCACGAGTATTAACAATATTGTTAGTTACGCTAGTTGTATTATCTTCCCATTGATAATATAGTGATTACACAATGATGCCGTCACGTGTTTCATGAATAAATATCAATATATGGTAAAGCCGTTATCATTTTTATTTTTCCCAAAACCAATTATAAATATAATTGATTAATTACTCATAGTTAAATAAAATAAAACATTTTTTTCAAATTATGAAGATCTCATTTTGCCAAGTTCTTAGTATACACCTTTCATGGCGTCGAACAAATTTTTTGAATAATCTTTGTAGCCGCCTTGATGATGGCTCGCTGCAGCTGCTTGTTGCACGTAGTTTGAGTAGTCACCGGACATATCAGCTGCTTGAAGAGGTGCAAAAGCTGCGGCAGGTGCTGCCATTGCATTTGTCACTAAATTACCCAATCCTTGCCCGTTACGGCAGAACCGTAACATAGCTAAAGCGGCTGGTAATAACATAATACCAAGGACCATAATTTTCTTAATTATCATGACGGCTATCAGAATAGGTACGAGCAAAGCTTTGATAAATATGAACTTGAATGTAGCCAACAATGGAAACAGCAATGCCAATTTTTTGTGTTTACCGCCACGACCTGTAATGTGGTAAACCACTGTAAACATATAAAATACCAAAAATAACCAAACGCTTTTTATCAAAGTATAATGGCTTAAAACATTGTGCAACACGGGTTAAAAGCTTGAGTATATAATCTAATTAATTTTATATTTGAGTTAAAATTAATTTAATTAAAGTAAAAAGAGAGTTGAATAATTATCGTGATGAATTTTTATTACATAATAGATTTATTTTAACAATAAAATTTTAATATTAACAAATATTTGTTTTAATAAATTTTTAAGTATGAGCGACTTACTTTCGTTTACTACTTGAAGCACATCGTCTTCATTTACTAAAGAAATTTGTGGAAAATCTTTTGACCATCTTGGTAAAGGTACTAAAATTCCATGATCACCACTATAGTTGCCCATTTTACCAATCACTGACACTAATTGACTCCAAAAACCTACATTTTTTGATGATCGTGATTCGTCTATATCAAATTTTTGAGAAATATAAGCAGAACTATTGTCAAATTTTAATTTGACAAAACGTATCATACCACTTTCATTTTCTAAATCCTAAAATAAAATTTTTATTTCAAACGTTGTCTTAATGAAAACATAAAATATTTCTATCTGTAAATGTATATATATATATCGATTCATTTATTCAAAATCGTTTTTTGAATTTACTCGTTACAAAAAAAATATGTTATCATAAAACATTCTTAAATGAAATTGATTTAATTATTTTTTTAATTAATGAACAACCTGGACTAGTTAATATTATCAACTATTTATTAAATTATCTTAATTGGTAAACATGATAGTATTGATGAATTATTTTTAAATAATACATACAATTTAACAGAAAAATGTATTGCGCGCTTTTATCACCGACTAGTGATTAAATAAGTAATTACAGATAAATTAAAATAAGGATTTGTTTTTAATCACACCACAATTGCCTTAAAGCAATTTACTTTAAAACCTTCCAACGAACATTTTCATTTAGAACATTTGAATTTTTTGTTTATTTCAATTAATAATCCTTAAGTATCCACACCTTAAAACAGGTAATAGTGAGATTATTATTTTTATTTAATATTTAAACTAGTATAAAATATACTATTTTATAACATATCATATAACACAAATATCAAGAATGTAATCATACATTATATGAAATTAAACTAATTCAAAACTTGCGATTTAGTTTAGATTTGTTGAAGTAGATATATATATAAGTATTATCCTATTCGGTTATTTGTTTTTGTGTAATCATAGTAATTCCTTAATATTATATTTTATCATGGAATGTTTTACGTTATAAACATATCAACAGTACTATTTGAATACTCACATTGAATTTGAATAAATTCTCTGGATGTTCACTAGCTTCATTAAGCGTTTCTAATATAACTTTTCCAACACATTCTTGTTTAGTCAAATTAGTTCGCTCACAAGAGTCAAAGACAAAGGATTCGACAGTCAACATAAGCATCATCATCGGAATAAACTTAAAGGGAAACATATTAAATATTGTAGGGTTATGTGTACGTCTTGAACCGAATCTGTCTTAGAACTAAGTCCGTCGAATCGATCGATTAACCCATTTAAACAATATATATTTATTCATTATACACCTGGCAATGAGGATTGGTCGTCTCGATGTTGAATGATACAGCGAAGATAGAAATATCTTCTCAAGTGTAGCATGGAGATGCAGGTGGATCAAATTAATGAAAACCAAAATATGCTTCTATAGAAAAATATATAATCATAGTATGATTAAAAAAAAAAATACGGTTTATAAATTAGCGACTCATTTTATGTCTCAACAAAAAATTGTACTAGTTTAGTCCGTCATTCATAATGTGACTTTAGAAACTGTAGTTTCTAAAAAAATTATAAAAAACATTTGGCGTTTAATATTTTTGGAATATAGCTTTTTCATTTACCTTTTTTTATTTTCTTAGCTCTCCCTACAGTATTCTTTCAATTTTTTTTTATTTTTTTCTAATTACCAAATCATAGAAACCATAAACATCTATTAAAAACTATCATTATATTTTATAAATCTAGTTAAAAACACACTCGTATAAATTTTAAAATGTGGCATTAAAAATATTTTCAATTTCCAAACATTCAAATTTTTTATAAATCTCTATTAAACTGTAATTGAATAATTTTTAGGCAACATAAATCACATTTTTTACAAACAATTATGTACAATTCAGATTTTTTTTAAGAAAATAATCATGCACTTTAATATACAAAAAATTTATAACATACATCTCTTACGGAAATGGAATCAAAATAATAATTGCGAAGTTATTATTTACAAATATCTAGTTATATAATCTAAATTATCCAAAGATGTCTTTTATGTTCTATTGGCCAAAATTTGTTTTGTTTTTATTGAATTTATGATTCATTAGAGACATCTTTTGATTTTTTATCATCAGCTGTTTTGGTTTCATCATCTACATAAGCAGTTACATCATCGTCGTTGATAGCATTCTCATCCGAAGGTATACCAAGTCCAATTGTTGCACTTATCTTAGCTGTTGCTTGTCGAAATGAATTTTGTAATTTTTCCTGAAAGAAACCAAAATTACATCAATATTTTTTTATGGCTGCACAATGTACAGGTACACGGATTCGTAAAAAATACTATACTAAATATAACTTTTAAAGAACTAACACATTTATTCATATACTACTAGATCAAATGATCGTTCCTAAACTATTCAATTCAAATTATTTAAACCAACAGAATAAAACTTAAAAAATATCCTATTAAAGTAGGAAAACCATTTTATTTTTTCGTGTACATATTGTATCCATAAGAAAGCAATGTCATCGTTAGAAATTTTTTGTTTTCTTAGTTAAAAAAAATTAACACCAAGTTTATCTAAGTAGTATTTTATCATAAGGATTTAATTTATTAATTTTATTTAATTAGTGTTATTCTTAAATTAAATTAATTTAAAATACAATTTTTGCAGTTAGTTAACTGGACACAAATTGATCGCCATCCGTTATTTATATTAATTTTTACAAGATGTATGTTTAGCGTTTTACCTGAACAACGTTGATGCACATAGAAGTTAACGCAAGTCCAAATACCAAATACACAATTGAGATAATCATAACCAGTTGATTCTAAAAATATACATTTATGTTAATAAAACACTATAATTTTAAGTATTTATTGTAACAAAAAGAATATAATACAGAGAACCATTTTTCTTGCAGTACACTAGACGTGCATCTAAATTCATTTTCAAATTAATGATTTTTGATTCATTGAATTATTAAAAATATATTATCTGTTTTAAAATGACTACCCAGACTGATTAAAAGTCATGCTTCTTAGATTTTTGGAATACTAAAAAATAATAGTTCTTTTTAAAAATTATCTCTCAATTATTCAATTAAAATGTGAAAAAAAATGTAACTACCCATTGATTCATTTTATAAGAAATGAACTAGACTACAAAACATTTTCACTGGGCAACATAAGTGTGTAGTCCCCTAGTTCACTAGTTTAAAATTACACTTAATTGAAATTAAAAATTATAGGCATACTTTATGTGCGTATAATTTTAAGATTTTTTGAGGTATGCTATTTATTGTATATAACTTTAAAAGTTCAATTTTAAAAACAATTATATAAAACTGAGGGATTTCAACTCAAATTTTACTAAGCATACATTACAATGAAATCAGTAAAACATTAAGATTAATATTTAATTTTCCTTAAAATGAGAGCAATTTTTTAAAAGAGTACAAAAGTCTATAATTTTGAAAAATATAAAAAATATAAGATTTAAACTGAACGTCCTTTATTATTCGTAGTCGTAATAGTAACTGTTGTTCATTACACAAACAACTTGTTGGTTTAAATCACAAACATATGCTTACCTTAGGAACAAAATCTCCAAAACCAATTGTGGACATTGATATGAAGACGAAGTAAAATGCTTGAAGGAAAGTCCATCCTTCTTCAAACCAGAAAACAATAGCCCCTATAAAAATATAAATCAATAGGATAATGAATGCCACTGATACCGGCAAGTTAAATTCATCATCGACTTCATAGGAGCTCAATGCTGGTGTGCTTGGTGATGTTGGAGGGAACCCAGTCTGCCCTTCTGGTTCTCCATTAAATAATGTACTCGGTCTGCGAAATTTTGTTATATCATATACCATTTGTACACCTTTCATTACCTCCTAAAAATTTGTTTTTTGTTTATTTAAAATACTAATTATAAAAGATTACAATTTTATGCAATATGCTGTATAAAAATAAAACCTAAGTTATACTGTTAAGTTAAAAAATGCTACAGATAAATTCGTAAAACCGCTACAATTTGAATATATCGTGTGAAATATAATATTTTTATAGAAACAGATACATAAAGTGTTAAAAGTAATTTTATTTGCCTATTAGGAAGAATTCTATTGAGTTTTGACGACATTATACACATTTTTGACTTAAAAAATGATATTTCAAAAGGCATATGATCCAGTACTGTTAGTGTACATACTTGAACACCAGCAGTTTTACGAACTTTTCGACAGCTACCAGTATAATAAAGTCGTCGAACAAGTGCCCAGATGAACTTAATGCCCCTGGTAAACATTTTACCGAAGTCGGCCAATAGAATCAAAAATATCGGTATGCCAAATATTGCGTATACAATAGTGATAAGTCGACCAGTGTTAGTTGACGGAACTATGTGACCATATCCTGAAAAAAATTGAACAATATTGTTTTAAATAAAATTAAATCTAGTTAATTGTATCAAATATCAGATTTTTATGATTTTATTGGAGCATTGAACCATTATTACATAANTTGTTTTAAATAAAATTAAATCTAGTTAATTGTATCAAATATCAGATTTTTATGATTTTATTGGAGCATTGAACCATTATTACATAATCATAAAAATATTTGTCAATAGTATAGCACATATTTTATATGAGTTGAATGTACTTTATTTTTTATTGTTCGTAATAGCGTAACAAGTTAAGTTGAATATCAGCTTATCAATATTTAAAAGTATCGCAGAAGTTGAATATAAAGATTTCCTGTAGCCAGAACACTATTATGTTTTACCATAAACATAATAAAATCATTTTTTACTGTTGTGTTAAATTTGCATTTCTTAAACTCTAATAAATTATTACTCTTAGTACAAGTTACCTATAGTTGTCACCACCGTGAAAGAATAAATAGCCGAGTTTACAAAGTTCCATGAACTTCGACCACTGTACGTGGTAGTACCGGCTTCAAAAGCGTCATGGAGCTGTTCTTCAAACTCAATAAGCTTTTTTCGTGCTACCTGTTTCCACTGATCCTCACCCATTCTTCGGCTATCGGTCCAGAGACCATCAAGAAAATCACGCTTCACACGTTTGACACCACACTTGTAAAAGGTTTCGAAGGCACCTTCTGTGTAACGAAACACCAAACCACCCACTCCACACATAATAATCAGTATCACCTAGAGGCAAGCACACAGATGGCAAAGAGTCATTTGACATGAGCTTCTGAGATGATCTGAGAAGAGTGTGTTACATTAAAATTGTTAAACTAAGACAATATTAAGTAACACATTATATCATGAATATATTATGTTATAAAACAGTAAGATAACTTCAACGCCTAACCGTTTCTACGAAGCATTTATGGGCCATTCTCCAGATGGAATTCCACTCTTCATCATACTCCATTCGAAACGAACGCCATTGATCCACCAGTCTCGGTTTATCCGATTTAATTAATAATTCTCGTTCTTTAGAAGGTTTTTTCTTCTTTTTTTTTCTTTTTCTTAAACCGTCGTCTCCTCGAACCGACTCCAGTAATGTTTTTTCTGAACTCCAAAACCCGTCGGTTTCGTAGTCCGTGTAACAACTTTCCCCGTCGCTTTTTTTTTCCATGTTCATCAAATCTTATTGCGAATGTTCAATTTAAAATTAATCTTACATTTTTTATAGTAATTTATATAAAACTCGCGAACATCGTCTTAGTACAACGAAATCATATTGTACACAAAAGTATAGTAAAGCAAAGATGGCGGTGTGCACAAACGCCTGGGTCCAATGGTATAAATAGATTAGAGTTAAATTTAACCACATGTCTCTAGAGTAGCTGTTTCGCAACCAACTGAATCCACAAAAATAGTAAAAAAAAACATGACGAATTTTTGTATTACTCAGAGTATTACCATTGTTTTCTCAAATCACTTTATCAATTACCGAGCATTGAGTTGGAAAAGCCCCAAAGAAAAAAATATAACAAAACAAAACTTGAGTAAATTGTATACCAGTAAAATATCGTCATAATTCACAGCACACATGGTTAAGAGCATATACAAGTACGGGAAAACATACTTAATCGATTTTTGTGGTTATAATAATTGTTTCATGTTTACCATCTGTCTTTTATTAGTGTTGTAAACGTTACATTGTAGTATAGTTTGCCATTAATGATAATATTATAATATTGTTTGGAAATATCAAATTACATTGCTAAATACAATGTTATTTATTTTCACTGTATGTTTCTGTGGTATTTTTTACAGAGGAATGGTAGGCTTTTGCCTCTCCCTTGACAAAAAAATGCGTACTGTTAATTTCGCAAGACATCCATGAAAATCAAATTGATGTGAAATACAATCAATCATAAGTGATTTTAGAATTTTTGTTATTACTTAAACGTATTTTATTATTCTACCTTAAATTATTTGAATATACAATTGGGGAATATACAAATAGATAACTAATGTTGTTATCAATTATCGGTAAAAAATTAAATATTATATGTTATGGATGTCCATTTGTAACAAAGCATAGCAATTGCGAAGAATTGCGTTTTTATAATTTGAAAAATGAAAATATTAAAATAATTAAAATTTTTTTATTATAGATTAAAAAGTTATAAGAAAACAAAATTGTTTAGAATTTTTTTTTTTTATCATATTATCTAATTGAAATATGTGATTCCTTTTTAAGAGAATTATAGTTAAGGAAAGGAAAGGATCCCGGAAATATAAAAAAATGAATTATTTAACTAAATAATACTGTTTGCAAGCTAAAATAACATAATATAAAAATAACAACACCCGCGTATCACACTCCAACCATCGCTAAAAAATATTAATAACTTAAAGTAATGGTTATTGTTGTCAAAAAGTTATTTTCTTAATTAGATCATTTTTTATTTTATAAGGTAGTTAAATATGTAAGTTGTTATTAAAAAAAATTAATTTGGTACTCTTGTCAGGGATAAGGTATGGATCAAAAAATATTTAACCATTTACGAATCGAGAATTAAAAAAAAGTACTCAACAAAGCAAAAAAAATGTGTTCAAGATTATTATTATTTTAGAAGAAATTCAGTGGTCAATGATCAACCGCTGTAGAGAGTATAAAAGCAGTTTTAAAATGTTATGTTCACAAAATATATTACTGGTTAGAGCCAAATTTAGAATATACTTTCACGAGAGGTTAGAAATACGTATACATACAATGTTATTTATTTATTATGAACCACTTACTTAATGGAAAAATAAAAATAATATTGAAAATTTTATTTATTTTCTTTTAGATACGTGTTTTTTAGAATTTATTTATCATGAACCATTTTTTATGTTCATCTCTTATACATTACACGAGTGTGAACTTTATTTTTTTAAATGGCAACATACATAGTTAACTGATTTTACTTAATACATGATGATCTAGTTAAGGAATTGACTGATCGATAACAACTTTGGACTTGTATTTCGGAAGTTACGACAGTACTACAATTGCAACAATTTACTATACAACTCGTATAGTATTAGCTGTAGGTGACACGCGGTTGTCGTTATTTTTATCACTAATCATTTCCAGGCCGCACTTTTCTTTTCACATGAGAGTATAAGAGTTTCAATAACATCTATAATACTGGCCCAAAAAGTGTTATCGACAGGTCATTTTCTTAACTGAATCATTATCTATTAAAATTAAAAATATCATTAACACGCAGGATATTTAATGATGTGGTCACCATAGAAAATATATTATTATATCACAAATAATAAATAATTGTTTATTCTTTACCTATTGTTGTAAAAATAGTCCCACAGAAAAATACAGCATTCAAATAATTCCACTCTTTTGGAAGGCTTGATACATCTTTTTCATATAAAGCGATAAATGTTGTAGCTTTTTCAATGGTTGCTGGAGTTAATCTTGTGTTTCCCATCAACTAAAATAAATATACAAAATTTATCGTTAACTTAGTTAAGCTTTGTTATACGTATGTCAAAAAAAAAAATTGGCTATAAATTTTGTTTACATATTTTTTGATTATATGCCAAAACTTCCGTGCAATGTTGAATTTTCTTAATGTTTTATGGATATAATATTTTCTTTATACGCCCAGAGAAAAACCTCGATCTATATAATAAATTCATTGTCCAATTTAATAAATATATCATTACTATTGAAACTATGATATATTTATCAATATGATAATTTTTTTTCTTGTCTTGAACAATAATTATTTTTAAGAATAATTATTTTGTTCGTATTAATAAAACATTATCATAAACCCTTGATAAAATTTCTCTATCAAAATTGATTGAGGTTTTTCTTTGGGTGTAAAAATTAAAGTGTTATGAAAAGTTATTCAAGAGAATAAAATTATTTTGTTTTGAATAATAGTTGTTAGCAATTATGTTTATTTTATTAAGTATCTATTACCTAAATTTCAATGAAAAAAAAATTGCTATTGTAAAAAAAATGTAGCTATAAAAATCTTCAATATTTTTTGTAAGCCCATGTTTGAAATTAACAATTTTTTAATACTATTTGATATCTTAGTGTTACTCAGTATACAATACGCCGACGTTAATATTTATTTGATTTTTATTAGTGACTAAAATGAGACATCCCATTTAGTAATCTATAGGATATCTAAAATGTAAATTTAAATCTCAACGGAGTATCTATAGCTACTTTTTAGTAATAAAACTTTGTGATTTTAAATAAAAGTTTTACAATTTTACATTTCAATAAGTATGTCTTTATGAAGTGTAATTGTTATATAAAGATAAAAAATAATTATATTTAAATGATCATTTTTATGATATTTATAAAAAGTAAACCCTGTTTCCTCATTTATTTTTATCAGTTTTAATAAAATAAATAAAACTTAAATAACCTTTAAATAATCTATATTTGTATAGTTAGGTAGATGTTCCAGTGGTATTAGGGGTAAGTTTTAAGAATATAGAATAATGCGTACTGTTAAAATGAAGGTTTTTGAATTCATCATGCTGCACCCGTATTATTTTTATTATTTATAGTAACTCATATTATATTATAATTTATTACAGTTGATCATATATACGACTTTGTATAACTGATATTAGAACGTCTGTGTGACTTCCATTTGATAACCTATGGAATGCACTTTGGGACATCCTGAGTTATTGAGGATCACATAGTTATCTCAGAGACTCTCATAGGTAATAGAATGTAACATCCACACCTCCCAAAACGATATCATTACTACGACGTCTTTAAGGTGAATTTTTGTGCATAGGATATGTTACTATTGCTTTTTTTACATTGTCGAATTTATATTATCTTATCGTTATTTCTCATAATGTCTAAACAAGTGACCATATTAAAAGTACTAAAATAATTATTTGTACTAAATATCTATTGCATGATAAATTAAACCAGAAAAAGTTATGTATACATGGAGATTTTATATTTGTCGTAATAATATCTCATTTAAAAAATAAAATTGGCAATTGTATATTTAAATATATCTTAACTAGGACTTACGAGGGATATATTTTTTATAAGATCATATCTTGCTTCGCTTAAAGTTTTAGGATGTGTATTTTTAGGTTTTCCTTCAATAGCTTGAAACATTAATGCACCGAGACAACAATAACCTGCAGCTATGAAGAGTAAAAAAAAATGGGTAAGCCACATTCTTGACCATTCTCTAATTTTATCATACAGCCAAAACACAGCTCGTTCACCAAAACTTAACCTTGATTTAGCTGTATTTACAATGTCTTTGAAACCTACAAAAATTACAACGTTCTATAAACAAACATACTACTTTGGTTGTGTTTTTTTAGGATTTAAATTTAAGCTTATATACAATTAAAATGTAAGTATTCACGATTATAAGACTTCAAAATTATTTATTATGAATCATGAGAATTATTATACAATGTCTTACCTTCTAACTGTTTGAAAAAAAAGTCAGTAGCTTTATTTGATGTATATGCCTGATATAATTGAGGTGAAAAACCAGTTGGTATAGTTGGATCAGTAATTGGAGTCATAGGTAAGCCAGGAGTTGCCGGATAAAATTGGAAACCTGGTCTAGGTAGTGGGTCAGGTGTTATCTTTAGAGACATTGCACTTCGGGACAATTTTCGAGCCGGTGGTTTCGGTACATCAAGTTGTGGGGTACTAGAAACTGGATTCGGCGCCGTTTCCTTCGAGTATTCATTTTCTTCAGGTTTATCAGGAACGACCATAACTGTAAGTATTCAAATAATTGTTAGTATTGAAATCAATTTGTATTTTTTACTACTGAATCACGTGTTTAAAACAATAAAAAGTAATTATTTAACTTTTAAAATTAAAATACACTATTATGTATATTAATTTGTAACATTAATAATTGTGAAAACGCTTTTAAAAATTTAACCACACTTCAAAGTTAACCTAATAAAGTTTAAAATCAGAATTTAATCGATATATTTTGTAAAAAAAATTTATATACGCGCCTGTTACACCTCTAATTACGACCTAATATTAATCAATATACCTATCATATAACATCTCCCTTATTAGAACATAAATAACTTTATTATTAATATTGTTAATTATTTGGAATAAGCCCAGAAATAAATAAATAATACATTTTACATCCCCTCTCGATGAACCCTGCAAAGCTGATCAGTCTTCACCAAATAACGCTACTGGATTTTAAAGTTCCATTAGTAACAATTGCCGAAGAATCTATTTTACATTGATAAAAAATCAAATACATTGGCAACTAGGATTTCATATATTGGGTTAGTTTTTTTGTTAGTGACACAAAAAATCTCAGGGGATGCGATGGCACATTCTGCCCCCACTCATGGCGTTACTGTCATATATTAAAAAAAAACAATCGACGTAGATTAACTAATTTACTAGATATAAGAAAAACAAAATATTTCAATTCCTAGGCCAGAGTTAAACAATAATTTTTTTATGTGAAAGTATTTTTTCATTTAATACAATGTGTAAATAATTAGAATTCAGAATTAAAAACCCAGACTATATTATACTGTATTGATCAGTGTTTTTGATAATGTAATTATACAGAGTGTTTAATAATAAGAAAACAGGTCAATCATTACAAACAACGAGAACAATAGAAACACGTTTCCTTACTTATTGTACACTCTATATATTACAGCGTTCTAATTATAATAAAGAATTTTTTTGGTGTATGGAGTTTTGTAGTTGTACATACAATTGTGTTGTAAATCCAAAGGCTTTTAATTTGATAGCATAGACTCGTGTATAATAGCAACAAGAGTGTTTTTCTGCCCTTGACTAGCCTACCTAAATTAAATTAAGCCAGTTACAATTGACACATAATAAAGAAAACGGCAATTTACTTAGGATCTAGAACTTAGTGTA